TTTCGCGTACTTTAGCGCTTCGTCCGTCGGCAAATTTAACGTTCAATTCGGCTGAATTCGTTTTCACCGAAAACGGTTTTCACCGTTTGTTTTTATGAATTCGTACACGTCTTCGGATATATACGACCTACTCGCGCCAGTATCGAGAGGCGCGTGAAATGTCGTATTGATAAAACGTATTGGTTCGAAAAATCTTTTATCGCGAGAATTTACAACTCTGATGTCATCTGCGTCCGGCCGGTTACGTGTATCTCGTTCGCGGGCCGACTCTGTACCGGTCTTTTCGTGTCGGTCCGTCTTGAGTTTTCCGATTTTTCTCAATTACAATCGGTATAGAAAATTCCCGGAGTACCGCACCATGAACAAAATTTCTTGGCTGGGTTCTTGCAATTTAAACGACTGTGGCCGCCTTGACTGCAACGCCAGCAACTCTCTTCCCGGACATATTTATTTTCGACTGCCGCGACGGTTTCTCTCGATTTTTATTTTACGGGGTCCTTATTTTCAGTTTCGCTTACGAGAAGCGATTGTGGTGAAGGTTTATAATTTTTCTCCGTACACACGATTAGTTCGAACTCGTTCGTCAAGCTTATCAAGTCGGAAACATTACGTATATCATGACGTCTGATATAGCGACAGAACTCGGGTCTGAGATTAATGTATAATCTCTCGAGTTCGCTTTGTTGGCTCATTCCACCGTGACGTCTGATTAACGTTTGTAAGGCCGTGACGTAATCGTGTGCGGTTCGACGATTGTTGCGATACCATAAAATTGCTTTACCTTTAAAAAGCATTAGTAGGCAAGTCAGTAAATCGTCGAGGGGAATTTCGTACGTAATACTTAACTCCTCAATACGCCCGAGAAAATTTAAGACGTCTCCTTTTCCGTCAAAGGAAACACCTCATTTTCTCACTCGTTCGGCGAGACTGTTATCGCGTGGAGCGTATTGTCAATCATGGTCGCGTTCAGAGTAACGATCGCGGTCGTCCTGCTGATTTCTCGACAACGGTCGGGAAATATTTCGTGATTCGGGAAAATCATTCGTTTTCGGGCGGTGACGCAAAGCATCATTCACGTGCATGTCGTTACGTAGTCTTCGAATGGCAAATTCGCGATCACGATCGATGTGATGTCGATGATCGTTATTGGCACCTCCGCCACGGTTGTCTCGACGTTCATTACCCGGGGTATTTTCGTGGAGATGGTTATCTCTACGGTCGTTTCTACTCGGTCGGTTTGCGAGTAAAGCACCCTCACGGCTCGGATGACGACTAAGTGCTCGACTCGGGGGACGACTGGGTTGTCGGCTTGGAGCGCGGCTAGGTTGTCGACTACTGTCACGGATTAATTGGCGACTACCGTTACTACTTAGCCCATGCACGAATGCTGTATCACTATTACTTCGCGTTCCGTTGTTGTTTCTAATTTGGTCGTTAGCGTTTCTGTTTTGTACACCGGTCGCGTGGTTTCCGATTCAGTTATTGTGTTAAAGTTCGCCTTCGTTTCGAACTTCTTGATTAGCGTATATCGCGGCGCGTAACAATTTTTATAAGACATCGCGAGTTGAATCGACAAGAAACGGCATATTTCTCGCACGTAACGCGTTTTCCATAGCTGGTTTGGTCATAGACTAAATTCTGGTTTTTGTAAAAGCTTCGTTGTCGTCTGCCATCGTCACAATAAATGTCGTTTATTCGCGTTTACAATTATTCCGTCCCTGTTCGGGCACCAAATCTGTAATAAATGTTAAAGGTTGGGATTTGCTCGTCGGTCAGGGTACTTTTGAATAAGTTTTAACATTGCAATTACAGAATCAAACGAGATATATTTAAAAAACGAAACGGTCAAATTGAAAATACAGACAAGAAATATAAACGATAAAAAATGACGTGAATAAACCCGTCCACGCAAAGACGGCGACGGACAGATAGCGCGCTAATGATGTAAAAACCATGAGAATCAGTAGCAATAGAAATACGTGGAATACCATTTAAAATTCGACGATATGAACAATAAATCTCTATTGATAACGCGACCGCGTTTCTCGGGTTACAAAATTAAGTAAAAAGACGAAAACCGTACGAACGTTGACTTTTCTTATCTAAACGGTACCGAACGATTTCGTGGAAGAGCGCGTTACAGTACTTGAGGTAACACCTCTTAGTCTCTTCTGCGGTAAAACCGCTTTGTGGTAAAACCACTTTACTCTACCTGTGGTAAGACCACTACGAGAGACCCTATCGCGGTAATACCGCTTCGAAAAGTGACGGTCTCAGAGCTATAATCGTCACATATTCTAGGGCTGAACTATCTATACAATCGATTAAAGACTTCGTTGAGACTCTGGATGATGAATTATGTATCCTTTTGAAGCATGATTTTCTTGCCAATTCACAAGGCGATCACTTGAAGCAATTACAAAATTTAATTGGGCAGAGAGAATTTATCGTAATTCTTGACTTTGCTGAAAATTATACTTTTTGTATTCAAGATGTTATTCAGGCTCATCACTAGAATAACGACCAAGTGACAATTCATCCCTACGTTTTATATTACCGGCGTAATAATAATCTGGAACATCACAACTTTGTAATTGTTTTAGAATGTAATAAACACGATACGACTGCCGTTAATTTGTTTAAGAAAAAAATGATTTTATATTTAAAAAACATTCACGGGGAGCAAAATGTTAGAAAATTAATATTTTTTTCAGACGGTGCTGGGTCTCAGTAGTATAAAAATAAATATAATTTTTCTAACGTTGCTAATTACAATGATCCATTAGGAATAAAATAACACTTCTTTGCCACTTCACACGGCAAAGGTCCTTGCGACGGTATTGGTGGGTCAATAAAATGTTTAGCGAAAAAAGCCAGCCTTCAGCGTCCTGTGGAAAATTAAATAACCACCCCTAACATTTTTTTCAATAGGCACAAGTATTTAAAAAAAAAATTTTGCTTTCGGGACAACAGCTGAATACAACACAGAGTACAGATCTGTACGAAAAAGATATCGAAATGCAATTGCAGTCAAAAATACCCGTCAATTTCATTCTTTTGAATTTGTTGACACAAATACCGTTTTATGTCGAATGTTCTCTGCAGCTCAAGAATTTGTTGAATGTAAAACATAGAGTAAGCTAAAATAAGCTGAAATCGTTCAAGTTCGTAAAAAATTTATTGATATTAATAATTAAGAGATTTGTTTACTTTGTCATTTATATCAAATGTATCTATATAAACTGTTAAATTATATTGTGATATTAATATATTTAAACGGAAATTTTATATAAATAAATATATATATATACTAATAATTTAAAACTTTAGCTTTTTCTTAAATATTGAGACTGATACAGCGTATACAAACCTGCAGTGTAGCGCCAACGCACACGGGTGCCATGAGATCCATGTTTGTATTCCAAATATATTTATTTCAGGGTTGCCACAAAACATGGATTTTAAAACTCCATGACAGGGACCTTTTCCAACACAAATAAACACAAATATCAAGTGTGTGTTTGTGTTGTGTTCAGAACACAACACATTCGAATATTGAAATTGTGTTGAATACAGAACACAACACAATTCAAAAAATTGAAATGTGTTGTGTTCTGAACACAAACAGATTTCAATAGTAAATTGAACTCGCCACATGTGTTTAAGCAAATGTGTTTTTTCAAACACAAACACATTTCAACTTTTTGAATTGTGTTGTGTTCTAAACACAACACAATTTCAATATTCGAATGTGTTGTGTTCTGAACACAACAAAACTCAACACAAATTTTTAGTAACTGTCCCTGCTCCATGACTTTTCCAAGTTTTCCAGATCATTTTTTAAAAAATTCCAGACTCAAAAGTGAAATCGTTTTGATAAATTTTTGTCTAATTACGACAAAAATTTTTAAAATATCCAAGTTTATTGAGGAGCTGGATCGAAGAGCCGGTTCTTCGATCCAGCTCCTCAATTATAAATAACATAAGTTATTAATTTTTAATTTTATAAATAATTAAATTTGCTAGATTATTTGTGATACACTACGAAAAAAAATCCTAAGAAAATCATAAAAGCAATTTGTTATATTTGTGTTATTTTTAATTTAATTAAAAGTAAAAAATTAAAAGTTTTTGTTTAATTTCGTAAAACCAAATTTAATTTTGATTTATTATGTTATTGTAATGAAGATTTTAGTATTAGTTTTTTATATTCAGAGTTAATCCTCTTTGTGTAATTTCATTCAAAAAATATTTTTAGAAAAAATGCATTTTTATATGAGTTATGGAGGGGGAAAGCAAAATCAAAAAATTGATTTTTCTCGAAAACGGCTTAACCGATTTTAATTTCAAAAATGTGCTTATTGTAGAATCGAAAGACGAATTTTAAAAAAAATACTCAAAAAAATTTTTTTTTGAAATTTTGAAAAAAAATTTTAACAGGGTTATTGCAGAGGTACCACTTTTGAAATGTGACAAAAAAAATTTCTAAAAGTGGTTACTTTAACCTGTAGTTTTTCTAGATTTTTAAATTTGGTGGAACATATTCAAAAAAATGTAAAACCGAGACCGTAACGTCATTCTAGCATATGTGTACTTCGGCTTAAGAAATAAAATAGTTTTTTTAAACCTTTCAATAAAACTCAATTTTCATAATCATAAGATGAATAACAAAATAAATTTTTTTTTAATTTTTGCCCAAAAAACCCGGAAAAAAAAATTTTGAAAATTTTTTTAAGAGGGTTGTTGCAGAGGCAGCATTTTTGAAATGTGACAAAAATATCTCTAAAAGTGTCTACTTTAACATATAATTTTTCTAGATTTTTAAATTTGGTGTAAAATATAATTAAGTAGTAAAAGTTATTGCATTGAGAATGGTTTACATTATTCTAGTGTTGAAGCATTTTACGCCAGAAATATAAGAGTTCTTTATTTTAATCACAAAACACCAAGAAAAATACTTTTTATAGTGAATATTAGTAAATATTTTTTTAACATTTCAGGTTATCATTTCGATTAATGCGGGTACTGAACTTTTTCCTGCAAACTGTTCAAAAAATAGTAATCTTGAAGTCACAGAGGACACACAGACAACACCTATGTTAGCTGAAAATATAATGGATGATATGGAAGTACGATAACTTTATTTTATTTTTTACATTGAACTAAAATATCTTCAGCATTGAGGGTTTTAAATTATAATTTTGTCTTAAATTTTTTTACACAATCGAAATTAAAAAAATATTAATTTACTAGTAAATGTATAGATATATTAAATAAAAAATTTACGCAGGTATATTTATCGATTATATTGTTGGTATAAGTATTTACCCAAGAATGTCAATTTCCTTATTTTCAGCTTGTGCAAAACGAGAATGAGCTTGAAGAAAATATCGAGGATAATATCGTTTTAGAATTGGTTTTTGATTCAAAAGGATACCTTTTCGAAGAGGAACCTAATTTTGTTCGACGATTGCAAAATTTTTGTTTGTTTTATGTGCAATATCATAGAACAAATTACGGTAGAAATTCTATTATAAATAGACTATGTCGCGAATCTAACTTATACTGTGACAGTTTGGACTTTTTTGGAGTTATATAGTTTGGCACAATTTACTCACAGATTGCGCACAAGTATTTTAAGTTCATAAATGTTAAATATTGATATAATATCTGTTAATATATTAATAGATTTATTTTTGTATTTAATTGTAGGCAAAATTTTAGTCTGCAATATTTAGTATTATTTGTAAAGGGTTTTTTATCCCCTTTAAAAACAATAAAATAGAAAATTAAACTACTCTAACAATTACAAAATTTAAATTAATTAATCGTTGCAGCGCTCATAAAGAATTTTAATTAAAGCGTCAACAAAACATTTAATAGTAGTACAATATGTCGTAGATATTAAAACAAAAAAATCGTCCTTCGTGCACACGTTGTTACCCAATATTTTATGAATTGGCGCTAGTAGGTGATTACAAGCAGGGCAAAAAGCAAGAATGTGATATAGCGAATCGACTTCCAGATTACAAGAGGCGCAAGTTGCATCGGGGTGAAATATATATTTCTTTTTTTAAAACAACACGACTTACGTGCTTGTTTAAAAGTCTGATTTGCGCAATTATTCTTTTATAAAAAAGTGGCAAACTGGTATTCAGATATCCTTGCATACCCGGATTCAAAGAAAGATTTGGATAAATTAACAGACTACTAGAAGAGGGGCAACAGTTCATATCTTGACTTTTAAGGTGCGTCGCGAACTGTTCAAGAATGAGATCACTATCGGGAAAAAAAGACTCTAAATTGAAATTGAACCATAAATCTGATAAACCACATGGGTCAAAAAAGTTTTTTAATTGTGTAAACCAATTGAAATTGTTATTTGGATTTGCCTTTGCAAGCTTAACCAATCTTTCTAAACACAGCCTAGGGTACCTAGAAGAATCCATTTTACTAATTTTGTTCAGCTAAGATAAGGAAAGTTTTAAGACTTTATGTGCGAGATGAACAATTCCCAACTCAGTTCTAACTGCATAATTGGGTGTAAAAATAAATTCCAGTAATTATTTCAGAGTTGAATAATTCGAAAAGTGGTCAAAGTTCAGTTATTCCTTCGAAAAACCGCAACATGGATATTGAAAAAGATACACTTGATGTTGTACACGTTCCCGTTGCAACCAATGAGAATCTTCATAAAATTCAATCAGTTAACTCAGATTTGAATAATTCAGAAAGGAACTCATTTGTTAATTCAGGAAACCTCGTACTTGACACACCGCCAATCGATGAAACTACGAAAGAATTACAGGTTCGGGAAAAGGTCGTTAATACACTGCAAAAATAAGTGTCTTATTTGATATCTTAAAATAAGATGTAAGATGGAAAAATGGTATCTTACATCTTAAAATAAGATGTTTAGCGATAAGATACTTGTGAATTGTAAGATGCGAAAAAAATTTAAGTTACTAAAAACTAAGATGCATAAAATGTCATACATATAAGCCCATAGTTAACCTCAAAACTTTTTTCCCAAAAAATATGATGAAAATATGTACGGAGATACTTTAAACATCTTAAATTAAGATATTTCAAATAACTTAAAAATGACTACCAAAACATCTTAAAAAAGATACTTCTTTTTGCAGTGTACTTGTAACCAACAATCTGAAGCAGATAAATTACCCGAAAGTTATGGAAAATTGTTATTCTGGCCAAAAGAAGATTCGCAAAAGAAAACGAGTCGTGTAAATACGAAAACCAAATTTCCGTCTGTCTTAACTTGCCCTAAGTAGCAAAATATTGCGCAAAATAAAGAAGAACAAAAACGAAAGATCGAAGATGATAAAATAGAAAGAAAGAAAATCAAACAAGAATAGCAAGAAGCAGCGAAAATCGAAAAAGAAAACAGTCGTATTCTAAAGGAACAACAAAAAATTTTAAGAGAGCAAATAAAAATCCAAAAAGAAAAAGAGAAGTTTGCGAAGCAGCAAGAAAAAATTATGGAAATGGAGGCTAAACAATACGCTAAACAACAGGCTTTACGAAAAATTTAAGAATTAGAAAAGAATTTCAAAGTGATCTAAAATTTGACTTTATTTTAGAGATTACTATTTTGATAAAAAATATTTGATGTTTTTTAAAGTTATTTAATGTTATTGGGTACTATATACTTTTATTCAAATTATAATTCTTGTTAAAATTTAAAATTAACTTTTTTTTTAAATTTTGGAGTTGTTAATAAATTTATAACGAATTCTGTAATTAATATTTGTACCTACTAAAATATAAGAATATTTATTGTTAAATTAACACGGTATTCCGGTCCTGAAGCTTTGAGCACCACGGTAATACCTGCATTTGCATTAATTTTAAAAATATTGATTATTTATTAAAATATACGCTCTACGACATTCTCAATTTTTTTATTATATCAAATAAAGTCAAAGATCAATTTAAAAAAAAAAATTATACAAATATCTTGTGAGGTTTGTTTACAATCTATTGACTAAGTCTGCATTAGATTTTAAACCACGGTAATACCCACATTTACCCTAGTTTTCAATAAAAAAAATTTTTTAATTTAAGACTACAAAAAAACTAAATTGTTAATAACATTCACAAAAAACTTTTATTTTGTTCTAAAATTTTTTACTCTAAGAGGAGTAAAAAAATTATTTTAGATAAAAAACAAAATTATTTTTTTAAAAGTGATCCGTTTGAGAAATTCTAACCCCATAATTGAATGTTTGGTTTCGTTTGTTTTTACCTCCTTTATTAAAAATTACAATTTTTGTTTTTTCAATGTTAACTTCTAATTTATTCTGTTCACAGTATTCAAAAATATATTTGAGGATTTTATTCATTTCATTAATCGTGTCGGCACATAACACAATATCATCTGCGAACGCTAATAGAAGTATTCCAGTCTTATAGTCTAAAAATACCCCTCTCACTCCTTTTGAACAAAGGAATTTTTCAAAGTCCGCAATAAATAGGGTAAATAGCGTAGGACTAAGAGAGTCCCCTTGCAACACGCCTTTACTGTCAAGAAAATATGTACAGATATGTACATATTTATATGTTTATATGTGTGTGTAAATTTATTCTTTTGTTTTGAAAAATGATCCCAAAACACACGAAAAATATTCCCTTCTGACAACCACAATAACACATTAGATTCTAACAAGTTTAGATGAAATTAGTAAAAAAAATATATATCTTTTCCAAAATACCACAGAACACATTAACTCACGAATATAATCATAAAACATTAGAATAGAATAGAATTTATTTATTAAGTCCTAGGTAAAAGCAACGCAGACAATCATAAAAAATACAGTAATTTAGAAAATATACATCATATAAAGTTAAATAAAGCAATATACATCTTATCAAGACAATAAAATTTTAGTTGAAATGTCTTTGGACTTTTAATATTTGTTATAGAACAAGGATGAGATTACCATTGATTTATTGCAGTTACAGTAAACGAATTTTTATATTTTTCAGTTTTACATTGTGGAGCCCTAAGAATGTATGAAAGTCTTAAATGTTTAAAAAATTAAATGTTTGCGTGTTCTGTTTAAAAGTTAACAAAATTTGGGATTTAAATGATAGAAATAAAATTTGTAAAAAAGATCTTATGTGACTATGATTCATCTCGAGAAGATTTACCTACAATCTTTTGTTGTGGGTGCTTAAAGAAACTTTATGATTCTTCAAAAAACAAAAATCATTAAGGAATAATAGTGCAAGATTAAAAACAATTCAAAATAATATATTAGCTTTATTTAAATCTGGCACTGTTATTCCTTGATGATTTTTGTTTTTTAAAGAATCATAAAATTTCTTTAAGCACCCACAACAAAAGCCTTTAGGTAACTCTTTTCTAGAGGAATCAAAGTCACATAAGATCTTTTTAACAAGTTTCTCAATTTCTCCGTGGAGTTATATTTCTCATTTTATTTATGTTATTTAAATCTTGAATTTTGTTAACTTATAAACAATGTTTTACGATTATCTTTGTATGAGTTATTGCCTTCCGAGGCATTTTGTTTTTCAAAACAAAAGAATAAATTTATACACACAGACAAACATATAAATGCATATTTATACACATCTGTACATATTTTTTTGACAATTAGTTTCATGAAAATATTCTAAAGCGAAAAATTACGCGTTTTTATAGAAAAAATCAGAGATCATTTAATCTATCCTCCTTTCTTGAAAAATTTTCCATATTACGGACGAACATTAACTTTTCACAGATTTCTTTAAACTGTTTTTCAACTTTATCGGCTTCCAATCCCGAAATTTGTCTCTTTTTAATTAAGGAGTTTAAAGCGATGCGTAGGCGACTATCTCGGCAATGTGACAAAACTGCGACGGCTGGGTGTAGAAAAGATGTACCCTTTGTAAGAATGTAATTCAATGGAGACCGTTTCTGCAGTTTTTCACTCAATTTTTGCAAACCTTTTCAACATTGAAGTTGAAACTCTAGAACATCCCGATCACTCATAATAATTCGCACTTTAGATATTGCTTCGCGAATCCCATAACCAATTTCTACATATTTGATTTCAGAAGGCTTTTTTCATCAAAAACGTCAATGGTTTGTACGAACTTTGCTGCTGAAATAATATCAGCCCATTATGTTTTTAATAATTTTACATAAAGCTTCGTATAAAAACGGAGCCATAGGCTTACTGATCTGAAATTCTCTTAGGAACAGATTAATAAAGTATCCTTTAACGCCACTTCCACAGTTTTAAAACTTTTACTTTTAAGTATCGCTTTTTTGTCTCGCGTAATACCTTCAATGTACTTTTTGAGATGCGTAATAATAGCAATTGCCTTATGAAAAACTGATCCATTTTCAAGCCAACGAATAGTGCAGAATTTTAGCGGAAACAATTTAGAATTTGAATAGTGTGTGTAGTCTCCTCTTCGAGCTCGTGAATCTTTAAATATGTAATATAAAGTTTTAAGAAAATCTGAAATGTACCAAATCTGAATCTTTAAATATGTAATATAAAGATTTAAGAAAATCTTAAATGTACCAGTCAGTAGATTTCAAGCCCGCTTTGAATGCTATTTACA